GTTAAGGCGAATCCGAGAGACTCATAAAATCCTATCTTTAGAAAAAAAATAGTAAAAAGGAAAAGAAAATACTCTTGATGTCTTTTGTTATTATCTTAACCAATAACTTTCCACTTATCAAGTATTACCGACTTAGCCTTCATCATACTGGCACATCTGGTTGGCTGATCGGAAGGTAAACTAGGTAATGTTAATAGTCTCTAGAAACCTATATTCGGTTGAGCCATCTCGCTACCGAAGCATTCAGATATAAATAAATTTGGAAAGTAAATATATTTCTATTAATAGAACTAGACCGACTCTTATGTTTGGTATTTTACTGAGGCCTTTTAATGGCCTTGTCCAAATATCTGATATGTAAAATGGAAAAGGTATTAATTAATAAAACCATTAAAACCATTTAGGAAAACTTAAGTTCCTTGTACTATTAAGAGTACGTTTATAATTTATGTACTGCTTAAGAGTACGTTTATAGAGCATGGTCTAATGTGGAGACCCGGCTATTACAACAACGGGAATCACGTTTTAAACTTATCCGACCTAGGAACATGGGAAGGCAGATATCGGGGACATGGTATATACACAATACTATAAGAAGAGAAGAGAGACATGAACATGTGAGTGAGCTTATCTGGCGCCAGGACGAGCCACTGACACTATTAAGACGAGCAGCAAGTTAATCGGGAATAAAGATGACTCGTGGACATGAGCATGACGAAGGAAAAAATGATGAGCAACGAACATGAAGATATATATCGGACAAAGTAAGTCTCTATGGGCAAGAAGTAGATGTGACACGTCACATTAAGACATATGCAGAATTGGTATGAGAATGAGTGTTATTGTAAATGTTTAGGCAATAGTAGTATGAATGCATGAAGTAGTGTCACATGACGGGTGTTTCAGTAGGACAAGAGGCACACGCGTAGACATCATGAACTCAGCAATTGGTATGCATCTAGGTAGTAGGGGTAGCCCAAGATAATGACTAGTCGCGATAGGCATAGCGCAAAAAAACAAAAGCATGAAAGGGACATCATAAGAATCGACATGAGACACGCCAAAGTACCTCAACAGGGTTGCATGAGAGGTTGTATAGCCAGTAGCGAAGAAGAAATGGATACGGAGTACACAGTAAGAGTGGAAGAGGGGTGAATAGACAGTCATCGAGTAGGTCCTGGATACGAGTGGTAGCTAGCAAGTGTGAGCACGTGTAACCATTAATAGCGACGCAAGAAGCACGTGCGATCGTCAGAGGAGCACAAAGCCAGAGTAGAGAGCTATGAAAGATAATTACTCCACACGGGAGTTGTAGAGAACGTAAAGCCCGGGAAGCCCATGTGGGTTCGGACGAGAACACTCCTACTCGGTATTGTATTACCCGGGTCTTCGTATAGAATCGACACATCATGTGGTAACTTAGTGCAATAGCATGAACATAGTAAGTTACGAGTTATACACAATAGTGGTAGAAGTTTATAATACATAATATGTAAATAAAGATTTTATAACTACTTCTATCATGACTAAGGGATGTTTATATGTATGATGCATACCTTTTACCTTAGTCTAACTCACCATAAATGGCCAGTGAGATTACCTGGGCCAAATCAGTATTTACGACGTATTTACGACGTCTCATAATACTGCCAGCCGGGCGAACGAACGTATACGCAGAGCTGGTGGTCGTGAATTTAAAAACGACATTTATTTAATATATATATATTTATTTATTTCTAAAGAGAAACGGATGTATTTATAAAAACTATGCTATTTCATAGAAAAACTTATAAATATAAATCAGGTTATATTTTGGGAAAAACCTTCTATAGTTATAAACTGGTTTTGTGGACAAACACGAAAATTGCGAGTGGGAGATACAGTTGTCTACACACTGAAAAAATTCCCTCTTCGTAAGAACTGCAAAGAATGCAAGAGTACCGGAACACATCATCAAAATGATTGAAAGTCCGCAAAGACTTTTGACACGGTACCTGCCGAGAAGAAACGTTGACGGTACATGATGTCTAGTATAGGCCGTATAGAACCGGAAGAAGACGAAAGAGTACTACTCCCTGTATATTTAAATGAAATAAAAGTTAGCGCGTTAGTTGATCCCGGTGCACAGACCACTGCTATAAGCACAAGACACGCGTTAACTACAGACATAGAAACTATAAAGTTCGATTTCACGGTGGTGTTAGCAAACCAAGAAGAAATTTCTTGTACACAATTAGCAAAAGACCTTACAGTAGTCTTAGCAGACTACCGACAAATAAATACAGAAGCGGTAATACTTGAAATGAGCCCGCAGTACGACATCATATTAGAATGTCAGACTTGTTTTCATTAGGTATAGTGATATCAGGACTGCCAAGTAATATTAAACCTGATAAAGACCAATAAGAGAAAGATACATTATATTCTCCCGAAGCACCTTCAAGCAAAGTGAAGACACTAATTCCAGATGTAATGGATACATTAATGGAATTGTTGGTGCAAAATAGACGTCTGAAAATAACAGATTGGGCTATATTTAAGTTCAATAAAGGGTACGTAAGTCTGAACTTAGAGCAAGCACTTTTTACAAAATTGAAGTGTCCAACAACAAATTATGTTTCTAGAAAACATAAAGGGCAGGTTACTGCCCAGGTGAAACAAAAGATGGGATCGTAGAAGTGAGTTATGCACCAACACCAGTTAACTTATAATTGTTAGCGGTGGACCAATATAATTCAGATAGGCTTTGCGTAAATGTAGAGTGTGTTTGGACTTGTCACCATTAAACAAAATAATTACAACACACAGCTTTCATGAGCTGTTAAGAAAGCTAGACGGAGCGAAGTTCTTCTCAAAGATAGGCTTAACGCAAGGTTATCACCAGATGAAATTTTATAAAGAACACAGAAAGTAGTTCAGCTTTCAGTGGAACGGAGTGAAGTATCACTTCAGAGGGGCACATTTTGGGTTACATATGCTGCCCTCATTCTTCCAACAAGTTACGATGGAGCTGTTTGCAGATCGAACGGATTGCGTACAAATATATATTGACGATATAGTCATAAATACGAAGATCGCTGCAGAACATAAACGCATAACGAAGATAGTACTTGACCGACTTAATAGTACACGGTTTAAAGTAAATGAGAAAAGTGTCAATTTGCCGTAAACAGAATAGAATTGTCAGGCTACTTAATATCCGATAAAGGGATAGAAATTGACCCGGATAAACGAGAACACTTGTTAGATTGGAGAATACCCATTACAGAAAGGGATGTAAACTCAATGTGTGGCTTTGTAAAAAAATTTACAACAGGAGTACCACACCTTGTAGAATACATGGAACCTTTTTCCCATCTAAGACGTCATAAAGGCAAATTGGACGAGCTATGGATATATATATATATAATGCGACGACGCATTTAAGATTCTAAAACAGAAAGTAATGAAGGCACCTGTCATGCAGTTTCCGGTGGATGGAGTAATATTCCAAGTAGCTACCGATGTATCTAATATGGCGGTAGGTGGAGTCTTATACCAAATGATTGAAGGTAAACCACGATATGTCATGTTCTACTCATAGAGTATGAGCAAGAGTCAACGAGCATATCCTACTGTGAAACAGGAACTATTAGGCATAGTTACTGCTCTACAGCACTTCAAGGACTATCTATATGGTACTACCTTTGAAGTAGCATGTGATCAGTAGTCTTTACAATACATGAAAGATATGAAACCTGACTCACAACTAGTTAGCCGATGGCATGATACCCTGACTATGTTCTCGTTCAATATAACACATATACCAGGTAAACATAATCACTTACCGGATATGTTGACAAGGCTAGTTCTAGACTATCAAAAGACTGTCAAAGAACTTATGGCCACAGATTGGAAACTAAATCGCAAATGATTCGAATTAGCAAGTAGAGCATTTGGGAAGTTTACCATAGATATGTTCGCGGCAGAACATAATAAACAATGTGAAGATTATAGAAGTCTTACACATTCAAAAGGAGACGCCTTTCAAATAGATCTGTCAAAACACAACGCTTGAGCAAACCCGCCGTGGCAATTAATACCACAGCTTCTACAGTACGTATAAATACAAAATGCCGAAATAACGTTATGTAGTCCTTTAAGGAAATCCGACCCTTGGCTTAAAAAGCTAAAGTCAATGATACAATATGAACCAATATATGTAAACATAGAAGTGGATACATTTTTATATATGGGTACCCGGGCTGTAAAGAAGACCCCTTGGATGCATACCATAATATGCCGGATAGGTCCAGCGAAGAAATCGAAATGGACCCCATCGGACACATTCTTAAAGAAGCTGGAAGAAAGTACGATTCCTCTTAATACAGTCCAAGCTCCTACCAAGCAATATGCTAAGGAAAACATAACAAACAAGACCTCATAAGGAGAAGTGTTAACGATGGGTCAGAGAACGTCAACGCAGGTAGATAAGCTAGCTAAAGCATTCAAGAAAGGGTTAAATAGTAAGTTACCTGAAGCTCAGAATACAACCCTCGAGGCGTTATTGAAGGACATGCCAGAAGTTCACGATAGACTTATGACATTGTTTAGTGAAAGTAATGCTGTATCAGCAGCATCAGCAAAACGCACTTCGACGGGCGAACAAGAGTTCAATGATGATGAGCAAGGTCAAGAGACTGATATTGAGGGAGAAGACGAATCTCCCTTACAACGTGACATGGATACAGAAGAACTGATAAGGAGAAGTGTTAACGATGGGTCAGAGAACGTCAACGCAGGTAGATAAGCTAGCTAAAGCATTCAAGAAAGGGTTAAATAGTAAGTTACCTGAAGCTCAGAATACAACCCTCGAGGCGTTATTGAAGGACATGCCAGAAGTTCACGATAGACTTATGACATTGTTTAGTGAAAGTAATGCTGTATCAGCAGCATCAGCAAAACGCACTTCGACGGGCGAACAAGAGTTCAATGATGATGAGCAAGGTCAAGAGACTGATATTGAGGGAGAAGACGAATCTCCCTTACAACGTGACATGGATACAGAAGAACTTGAAGTTCACTATTGGGTTGTACAAGATCACAATCTAAAACATGTTAGTGAACGACCTACTCTACGAGATGCCCAAGAAGAAGGGATTGATCATCCCAGACTCAGGGCGATAATACGTAAAAACTACAACTCCTGTAGGATTGCGAATATAATCAGATCAAGCGTTATGGATTCGCGCCACTAAAAAGTGTAATTATTGATCTGGTTAAGTTGCCCATGTCCAAGCATACAAAGTCACAGTATTTCTGCCATTTATTTGACGTAGCTTCGAGGTATAACATCTTGCAACCGACAAGAACCAAGACTACACAAGAGATTTCGGAAGTCATATATACTGTCTTTAATGACCACGGGTGGCCATATATCATGGCGACATACAACGGCTCAGAGTTTTGCGAAGACGTAACCGCCGCAATGACTAGTGTCTGGCGTGTGCCATAAACGTGGAGCGCCCTATAACCCTCAGACTCAAGGAGCCAACGAGACTAGACACAGACGTATGAAAACACTCATACGCGGTCAGTTAGAAGACTATGAAGGTCATTGGCCCTGCCATCTTAAATGGGTTCAAACTATGATGAACGAGACTACTGACCCGGTAACTAAGATTACTCCCGCACACTACTTTAGGGGAAGAAGAAGTGCTTTACAATTACCGTATGACGAGGGGAATCAACCAACTACTGATGTACCATGGTATGAAAGACTAAAGCGAGTACAAGAAGTGGTATACCATCATCTACGAGAGATGAAGAATAAGGACTTATTAAAAAGACAAAAACGTTGGTACAGTAATCGTAACATACAAGTGTTCCAAGTCGGAGACATCGTAAAACTGACCAGCCGTTATATGGATATGAAACCCTTCTGTAATAGTATTCTAGAAATCTATAAACAAATCTTGCTATATTTAGCTTAAGTGTTATGTTCACATATGACCAACGTCATTCGCCTGGACGTACGTTTCGGGGACAAACACGAAATTGATCATATTGTATGACAATTTCTGCTAACGATATGGTTCATTCCTAACTTTATTTTCTTGAATTAAAAGCACATTCTTTAAACATTGATTTCGTTTATAGGGATAGTAATATAGATAGTAGCTAGCGAGCCACGAAAGCGAGTTTTACAGTATTTCGTACTCTGCACTAACCCATTCCATGGCACTACACGGCGCAGACCCGATCCGTACCACATAGGTGGGTACGCTACTTAGTAGGTCAGCAAGCGAATACATGGCACACTCGATGTTGTCAGTTTTTTGTCAGCACCGGCCCGAATTGGCCCAGCGCATATCCTCCATCGTCGACTCACTTGGCCCAAGCTTCAAACGGGAATTTACTGGCCACTTCTTCCCATCGATCTCTCACGAACCAATACAGCGGCTATAAGAGCCATACCATATGTACATACATTATAACATACATACGTTCATACTTATTAATATTACTACATCGCATATAAAAGAAGTCGGCAGGGATGGTTTGAGATTAATCGTTTCCAGTCTTACAGGTATACACAACGAAGCACCGAACAAGATGCCGAACACACGGAAGAGCCGTCGTCAACACGGGCTTGAGCCCGAACAGCAAGTACATAGTACGAGCCACCAACGAGGCTTTAAGAGCAGGGTTGGATCAACACAGGAAGTAGGCAGTTGATCATCTGGGGAACAGCGAGGGGATGCAAACGAACCATTCCGAGCGACTCATTCAATGTTGCAGCGAGCCCTAGCGGACCATCAGACCCGCCTACGTCAGGGTGAGAGTGCAGCACCTCCTAGCGAAAGCAACGAGTCATCCTCGTCGAGCAACAACACGCGGAGAGGTGACGTCAGGGGTTAGGAGCGCCAGAACGATAGCAGCAGGGTTCAACACCAGCAAGGACAGGTACGGCCTCGTCAGAAGCGTCGTCCTTACCGTCAAAATCGACAGGATGCGAACAACGCACAATCCAAGACGGATCAGCTGTTGAAGAAACAGCAGGAATTATTGGAGAAATACGAACAGCGGCTGCAGCACCTTCAAAGACAGGCAGCGGGGTCGCTAGCAGACCACACGGTTTCCTCTCAAGATCAGGGCCAAGAGGAAAGAGATGATACATCTCAGTCGCCGGCAGCACCAAACAAAGAAGGTGAGCGTTTGGAGTTTAGGATTCCAGGTAGCGCGGCCCGGCGGATCACCGGATACAGTTACTTCAAGAGCATCTATTTTGCTACAGGATATTGTCTACGCAAAATATTGGATAATCGACATGAGAGATTGTCCGGCGCGATCTATTCGCAGCAGCAGAATCAACGATTCGAGGCGGATGTCTTGCGGGAATCACTGCCACGACACGCAGCGTTATCAACTCCTACGACACCAGTAACTCCACCGCCGGGTAGTGATAAGGAGTCCCCTCCAACACCGGAAAGTATTGCGGCAGACCGCCAGGTACTTCATGCGCGGATGCTTAGACTATCCGAGAAGTTGTGTAAAGTAGTCGGGGCGAATGATCTACCACAGGACGAAGCCCTACGAGGGGCACTAGAGACTTTACGAGTTACACATGACTCTCGACCAATAACCAAGCACGAGCCACGAGAACCGAGAAGCTGGCCAGAATGGCCGTCGAATATATACCAACTACATAATGTCTTGGAGAGAGATACGAAGGGAGCCCTATTGGAGGCGCTGAAGAATGCGCAGATCTCGGGCCCAGACGCGGCGTGGAGCTTGCGGTGGGGTTATAAGGTCATTAGCCATTTTGAGGCTGAGCAATCGACCTTGGAATACATTAAGTCCAACCACCAGCGGTTAGTTAACTGGACACCGGAGTTACAGATGTAGCATCTAAGGACCAGATTATCAAAAAGCCATTCCAAATTCCAAAACCCAGAATAAACAAATATTGAGTTTTGGAATTAGGATTGGAATATTTCTGATATTAGAGTCATCAGAAATACTAGCGGTAGAACCGGCAAGCCATACCGAGACTCCGCGTGTGAGAGAAACACTCAAACTCAGTTCAGCTCTCTCAGCTAGGGACTTTTCCTAGCTGAGATAACCGTATTTGAGAAAAGGTCTATTGTATCCTTTGACTCGTACCTTTCAGCTACTCTACATACTCTACACAGATAACACAGAGTTGTTCTCACCGAAACTCAAACCACGGTCGACCCTACGTTCCGGAAGTTGGCGAAAAGACACTCTCGGGTTTCCAACATACCCATTATGGAACAGATAACACAGCTCATGGAGAATCACAGACGTGCCCACGAGTGCAGAATTCAAGCAGAGCCTATTAAACCACTGTATCGTACAGTTATTGGAAGATTTCCTTGGCTCCCGAACATATGAATGGACGCTACAATTACACACAAATTGGCACTTGATGGAGACCCACGAGTTGTTGCAGCTTTTTAGCCCAGATATTCAGGAGGTACAGACGAGAACCACTGCGCGGATATCGAACCGTCGACCCCATAACAACGATCTTCAACGAGGAGACACACAGTTGCAATGTACGCCACAGACAGTTGCACCACGAGGGGCACAACCATGGCAACAATGTACACCAACGTCGAACACAACTACGACTTGTGGCGGGTGCCAGGCACAGGCGCCACCAGGATTATGACATATTCCTCGTTGTCACAATTATGAGACAGTGACACAGGACAACCGTGGCCGCACGACAGAAGTACGCCAACGTCCCCCGATGCCACAGAGTTTAGTAATACACTCAGTGGTGGCAACACCATCAGCACCACGGTACAGAGTGCGGGAGGCGACAGCAGCACCATCATACTGGCATGCCTCGATGTCATTAGCATCATCAAACGCATCGGCCGTTTCCCAGGTAGTACCCCTTCGCGCCATCGCACAAGATACCTCGTCTTGCCTGTGTCATCATCATCCCGATGTTTAATGATATGTCGGAATGCTGAACCATCATCACGCCATAGACTCTCGTCTAGCGGTGGATCGATACCCTGGTGGACCAAACGGATCAGTTCAACCCTAACCGGGCGACTTTTGAATTCCGATGGGGTCGAACCATCTCGATGAGACAGATCGTGTCCTTGTTCATTCCGGCCTTTCACGACATAAAGGGGCGCATTGCCTTGGATGTGCGGCCCTCCGATTTGACCATTACCACATCGCTCTCCTCAAAGTGCACAAAATCATTCGCACGGAGGCGGTCGAGATTCTTCGTCAAAGTATTTGTCTACCGCATCGTCAACCTATGTAGCGTTGGTAAGATAGTGTCCTGAAGGCGATCGAGGCGTTGAGCCCATGTCTCATTCGAAACTGGCTGATTTTCCGGGGTATCGTCAGTAAAATCCGCAAAAGGGGCATGGCGGCGTCCAACATATACGCTAAAAGGAGCACTTTTGTGTCGAAGGGACACGCGCAGATTTTGGTAAAGCATTGTAAATAGTAGTCGTTCATCCGAATTGGGGCGTAGCCTCACAGCATATCCGAATTGATCGGGCAATCTCCTTATGCCGGCGTTCCGTGGCCCCTAGTACTTGTGGTCGGTATGGCGGTGAGAGTTTGTGCATCGTCCTAATCTCCCGAACAATGAGCGACACTACACTGTTGACAAATTCAGTACCCATATCA